CAGAAAAACCTTTATTACTGAATAGAAATCAATCCAAGACTGTAGCATAAATAAATGTTAGCACAAGTGTGCTATCAAAATTATATTTGTGAACACATGAAAGGCTTATGTATTTGATTAAAGAAATAGTTTTAAAAAATCACTGCTCCAAACGCATGGTAAAATACAGAAAATACTTTCTTGAAAAGTACAAACTAAAGATCGTTGTGGAAAACACAGGAAAAAAGTACAGAGAAAATTGACTGTTAGAAAACAGGAAAAACTATCAACATTAATGACCTGTAAGAAAATACAGGAAAGTTCCGGATACAGTCATTCCCAATGCTTTCAGGCATGTGCGTGCACATCTTACCTGAAAATGCCATCTACCCTGTAAACTATTCCACTTCCATCATAAGTGTTATTTGCAGAATTAACAGCAATATTAAGAATAATGGCATTTTATCAGAGAAATCATTTTTCATTTTTAGACACTACTGTAGTTGAGAGAATGCTGCCCAAAATGTTTTCTTTTTTTTGATGATTGAAATTAAGAGAATTCTTTTGAATCCTTCAAAAACTTTTACCTCTTTCAACCTCATATTACATCAGCATACTTCGGCCAGAAATACTAATCAACTTTTGAATAGGTCTCAAGCCATTCAGTTATCAATATTGCATTGGCTCTCAAAATATGTAGTAGCTTTTAAAAATATAGCAGTTTGAAATAATTGTAATCTTGCTTCTTACAGATTTTACAATGCATGCCTTTATAGAGAAGTGCAGACATCAAAGGCAAGACACACAAACTCTTTCAGAAAATTCTACTTTCATATATATTTTATTACCTAAAAACATAGGTAAACTTGTTCTTTTTTTGTCTATATATCTATCAGAGTCAGAGTACGTCATCAAGTCTCTCCAGAGAAGGCAATCTTAGATTTCAGCCCCCCAAAAAATTGTCTGTGACTCAGGGGTAGTGAAGCACCTGAGATTGATGAGATGAGAAGGGAGGGGCTGCCTGCTCCTCTTTGGAGGCTGAGAGGCAGGACAACTCCATTTCCCATGATGCTTTTCCAAACTGGATTTGCCCCCCTCTCTGATGATATGACTACCACCAACATGTTTATTGCAGAAATCCTGCAGCTTTTTCTATGGACAACTCATATCTGTGTAATTAGACCATTTCTCAGTCAGAATCCAGCTCGTAGCCCTTTTGACTTGAACGCACACTCAGCTTGAAACTTTCCAGGTTCTTGAGCATGTTCCGCTGCATTCATTCAGCAGCTTATCACAGTTTGCTGGTGATTCATTTTACCTTCGACCTTTTTCACTAGAACTCTTCTTTTTTGTCTTTAAATTGTCTTCAGCTTTCAGTTCTGCTGTAAAACAATTAAACATTGCACTTGTGTTGTTATATATATTACAGTTCTGTATTGTACAATGCTATTTAAGGCCTGCCACTCATTTTTATTTATGTTTGAAATCCTCCTGCCATTGCTCCCTCCCTTTTCTGCATCTTCAAACCCTTTAGCTGCAGATCAACATGTTCAATTTCAGATTAATTCCTGTCCCATTTTTTATGTGTTCTTCAGCTAATTCTTGCTACTTTGTCAGATTTTTTTACACTTTTTAAAAATCATCATTCTCAGAGCAGGAACAGCTCTTTCTAGATATTGTTGTTCCCGTTCTAACAAAAAGATATGCATCCAATACACACTTTCATTATCATTTGCAAGGTTTTATCATAAGTATTTTTTTTTTTTTTTGCTGACAAATTTACGAATAACAAGTGAACTACACTGTCTTTGAAAGTGGTCCATTTTTGCTTCATGGCCTGTTAGATTTGTTAAATCTACTGGCTCTGAAGATGCACGTTCGCTTCAAATATGCATACCTGCAGTCACTGTGGAAACCAGACTGGTGGGAATGCTCTCCAAATGATTTCAAGGGTCTCTATGTATAGGTGAGTACAACAGAGAGAGAGGGGGGGGGGGGGGGGGGGGGGTTGTCACAGTGTGGCCGACTGTGGGGGTGTGATGTTGCAGGTTGCTGGTAGGTACACTCTAACTCGTTGGAAGTGATGGAAAAGAGCAGTTGATGGAAACATAGAGGTCTCTCACTTTCTTTCACCAAACCTGTGTATTATTTGTAAAACCCAGGTGACCAAACCAAAGCCCCCCCTGAATAAGACTGCCTTATGTTCAGCACAAAACCCCAGAGGCCCAAATGTCTGTATTTGTTTTGTTCATCCTATGTGCATGGCTCCATAGCTAAACAGTTAAACACAAGTTCACAAGATTTCACCTGAGGACGGATTGAAAATAACCCTAATTAAACACCACAGCTGTGGAGTCATAGGGAGGGGGAGAGGGAAAGAGAGTGAGCCAGTCAGTTAGATATAGAGAATAAAAAGGCAATCCTGTGAGACTTGACTGCCAAGCTCTGAAGTTTCAGAGGCAGGTTTTATGCTGGAAAACAGCAATGACATTTGTTGTTTATATCATCAATATAATCTACAACACAGACAGGAAGACATTTCCTTCTGTCTTTCTGTGATCCTCGAGACCCCACTCTGCTATCTGCTGTTAGAGATTCTCAAAGATTCTGGAATATAGTATCTATACACAAAAATGTCAAAAGAGAAACATCCACTTCAGAAGACAGAAGCAGTCAGTTCCAATATTGCTATTTCTAAACTCTCTTCATCTTCACATGATTTTTTAATTCATCCACTTACTGTCTCTGTAATACATAGTAAAAAAAAAAGTGTATTTCTCCCCTACATTTCTATTGGTGTCTTTCCAGAATCATTCTCATGGTCTCACAAATGTTTCTATTTTCTTTGTGATTGCTTGGGGCAAAGGTGATACTGTCTTCTGATTGGTTTCCTTATAACTTGGCATATCATGACCAAGACTTGATTAATTTGTTTGTTTTTTCTCCAATTTAAGTGCTCATGCAAATTCCCATTTCCTATTTTTATATATAATAGAAATGTCTACCTATTGCTACTCTAGAATAAGAGTCAGATTTTTATTCAAACTTTTTCCTCATATTTCACAAGGAACTAACCCAAGAGGATTCAGCTGGACGTCTGTTCTGTAAATTCAAGTTGCATGAGCATAAATTATTTAAATCTATAATGCTTTATTTCAAATTGTAATTCAGATCACGAAGAGGCTGTTGCTCTGTCACTGAGCAGTGATTGAGAATGGGTTCAGTTAAAGTATAGCTAGCAGTTGGGTACTTTTATCTCTGATCAACATATTTTACAAATAGCTTTTCAAGCATTACAGTCAACCAAAGTGTACTTAGGTGGGGAAAATGTCTTATAAAAGCTGTATGAATATAAAGTAATCAGTTTCAAAACAACTATAAAATGTGAATTCCAAACAAAGAAGCAATTTAAGCAACAAGTGTTCATATTGAAAAAGTCAACCATCAAGTTAAAACGCACACTGCACAAAAAAGGAATAATTCGATAAAAAAGGCTCTTTTGAAATGATATGTTTTTGGCTTTGTATTAACAGAAGAGAGGGTGTCGATATTCAACACCCACACTGGTAGCTGGTTCCAGAGGGAAGAAGAACAAAATCTACACACTCAGCCTCCTACTCTTGTCCTGGAAATTCTAGGGACTGTGAGCTAGCCTACACTATAAGAACTTCTTGTATTATTGTATCGAAAATAGGATGGCGCAAAGCCATTTGGAGCTTTGTCCTTAACAAGAAGTATTTGAAACTTAGTTCTAAATTCCATGGGTGCCAACGTAGAGATGCATAAACTTTAGAAATCTGATCTCACATAGCTGTGGACATTGAGGCGGTGGCTATGGTTTTTGGTAACAACTTCAAAAGTCTAAAGAAGTTCTTTGGTCACCTGTTTAAGAAAGAACAGTAGTAAGAAAAATAAATAACTTCAGTGGTCCAGTGTTAATTTAATAATCAAACGGACCAATTAGTCAGATTTCAATAGGGAAGTCATTTTGTATCTTTAATGTAATCTGTAATCTTTTTTTATGGGAAAATAATTGATCATTTACAGACAATCCTGTCAGAAATGTGAAAAACAAAGGGGTGGGAGACATGGGTTGGCTAAGGGTTAGAGAAAAAAACCACAACAAAAGGAGGCGCTTAAACCAATTGAATGACGACTGCGTTCTTAAAGGCCTGAGCTACAATCCAATTAATAAACTTAAATAAATATGTTTACTGTGTCTCAGTGACAAAAGCTTTAATTAGCTGCAGTTAAACTGAAAGTGGTGAAGGTGTTCATGCACAGGTGGGTCAGCAAACCAGAACACTGCCGTACACTGTGAGTCAGCCTGATGGACAGCATACCAAAATGCAGTGGCTCCAAAGATTGACCATTTTATACCTTGCTTTAACAAATTTATCGTGATTTGCATTGTGCTATACAATTTTGCTCTGTTGTTCACATTTCCATACATTTGTGTCCAATACACAAATCATATTACATGTGAAGCTTTTTTTAAATGTTTTCGTACTCCCTACTAAGTTACAGTGTCTATACTTTTTTAATGTGAAGTAGTAACACTGGGCTGGAAACCTATTTACTGAGCTAAAATGAACCCAGAGATGTATTTGACTAAAACTACACAATATAACTATATAAACCTGAAATATACCATCTGTGAGTTATGTATACACCTTATACATCTAAAAAATCATTTTAAAAAGTAATTTCCAGTGCTGTTTGGGTCATTTAAAATCTCAGCAACCATCAAATTTCTGACCAACAGGATGTACGTTGTAGTCTGTCTCATTGCTTTGATCCACAAAGGGAGAAAGGTATGACAAAAAGTATGGAGAGGCTTTGTGAATCAAATATCAAAACGTGGTCTCAGCCAAAGAACGTGCGTAATAGGGAGGACTACCGTGTGAGGCGTGTGGCGCGACAGGGAGCTTAGTGAGGATGGGCGATTGAATGATCGTTATCTGTGGTGTTTCTGAAGGGGGAAACTGTGGTGAACCTCCTGCTGTCGTGAAAGCGCTCACCTGTTTGTCCAGCGCTTCCTTCCCGGTCGTGGACAGCTTGGGCGCCGGCGCGCGCTCGCAGGTGCATCCCTCCAACAGGTAAATCCCAGCCGGTCGCGCGCTCTGCTCGTTCTCGAAGTAGAACAGTATATTCTGGTAGAGGGCGAAGAACTTCTCGTGCCACCGGCTGTTCTCCGTGGTCTTCTTGCAGAGAAAGCCGCGCTTGGTTCCCTCTTTACGCGCGACCGCCGACAGAAAGAGCGCGTGCCCTTCGTTGTAGCGGACGCTCTTCTGCATGTTGTCGCTTGGCTTTGAGGGTGGGGGGGAGAACGAAAGTGGGACAGTTTTCACTGCGGACCCATGCTCGCTGAGGTTTTTGCGTGGAAACTTTCCCCCTTCCGAGAACGGCTCAGTGGCGCGGTGGCGCACGGAAAAGTTGCCCCGCTGACGGAAGCACTTCTGCAGAGGAACTCATGGTAGCAATGTTCCAGTCCCGAACGCACATCTCTCTTCTTTGGAAGAAACGTCTCAAAAGCAGGAAAAAAAACGCGTGAGACGTGTCGTTCACAGAGGGCAGTACCCTCAAGTGGACATGTAACCGGTCACAGACAGACAGTGGAAGAATCACAGAGGCGATACGCTATAATCGGCTTTGATACCGGGTGACTCTCCCTCCCTTTTCTAGGGCACTCAACAGACACTCCCGCTAGGTCTCTCTATCTTTCTCCCTCACCGTTGATGCGCGCTGATTTTAGAGTTAGCAGAATTAAAGGCGGAGCGCCGGTTGTGCTGGAGAGGGAACAGAGATAGAACACAGAGAAGAAGCCACAGCAGACACCTCTCAGTGGCAAAGCGCGCAAACATGACCACATACAAACACGGATCTAAGGAATGTTTCTCATCAGACCAATAAACGCGGACTGCCAATTCATTCGTCAATTAATAAATTGTTAACTTCAATGTTGGACAGAGGAGTTTTTTTCACGGGAATCAAGGTGTTCAGAACCTCTTGTCCAAAACCAAATAAGACTATTTATATAAGCCCTTCATCGAGGAGCACTTCGGTTTAGGACATTTTATATTAGAAGATCAGCTGCTTATTTTTTAGTTCGTTTTCAACTGAAAAAAGTCCAGTAATGGCTCCTTAATGAGCCATTGGCTCTCCCCGTTACAAAAACAAAACTTGAACTTTTAGACATTGTTAAATCCTGAGCTTTGGTTGCCCCTTAAATTAATTAAAATGTTGAAAGAAAGTGTTAGCCAATCTAAGCCCCACCCACGTATTCAATATCTTTCTCCATGCTAAATAGCTGATATAATACTGCAATGGTATATGAACAAAGAATTTCAAGGTTAAACAACAGCAAGTTCTAAAAAGTGTGAAATTTTTCTTTATTCAATGTCCGGACACAGATGGCAGGTAAAACATTATGCGTTTATATTCACTGAAGTCGCCATCATGACTACAGTACAGATAATGATAGAAAGCTGAATCTGACTTGGTTAAAATTCTTTTCACAAACCACATATTATCAACCGTCTGCATGTAGATTCTTCGCTGAACATAATTTTTTGCCGATTCCTATGTGATCTGATGGCGATGGTCAGTGTTGCTGATGTCAGGAATTTAATTCCAGCCACTTTCTGAGGGACAACTTGTCTGAGATGCTCCAAAGATCTAAAAGAAGTTTCTTATACCTCCTGGAGAGACAGACACAAAGAAGAAAAGTGAAATGTTAAACATGATACTGTTACCAGAAATACTGTATTTATCCTTATAGTCTTTGGAGTATTGATCCTACACGTTGTATCTTCGCACTTTTCCGGGAAGGATGCAATAAAATAAAACCTTGCCTCCGCTGTGTATAATAAATGTCCATTGTACGTCTTTGCTTCAACAAAAGGACAAACATTTAATAAAAGGGGGATTACTCTGATCGCAGGGAACGACTCTGTTTGTGTGTGAGAGTGTGCGGACAGATATTTCATATGGTGCGGATTACTTCAGAGGAGGCTAAGCAGGACTCAGATCCCAGAGGGCTGTCCATTTCAGAGTGAGAAGGCCATCTTAGCCATTTGGACCTCTTCATGACAATACAACAAACTATTAGGCTCTCTTCTGCTGACCCGATAAGTTATGTGTGTACCCAAGTCTGCTGCGACATGATGACTTCTTTTAAGTTCACTTATTGTGGAATGCTTGAAGTAATTACCCATACTCAGTTATCACCAGTTATCTACTGCCACTAAGAATATCCTGCGTGCTTTACCTTGTGCTCAATAAGACCTTTCTGATGGAAAGCAGAATCTTTGATATCAGCACCTCCCATGTTTGCTCAGGTAAAATGACTGTGGAGTCTGGTGGCTTTGAGGGGACTGATATAACCGATTCATGTTTCATACACAGCCTGACTGCAGAGCAAAGCAGTGGAAATAAATTCTAAAAATAGAGTACCGTAAAGGCAATTTTATATATATATATGGACCATATTTAGGATACCTACACACTTTTTGCTTCTGACTCTGTCATCAGCAGCTCATCAGAGTATGGTCCAGAATTCCAGAAAGTTTGTTTTTTCCAAGTGTGTTGTGACAAAATCCATTTTCTGTACGTTAAAAGTTTGGATAAAAAGCTCCTTTAGACTTAACAACGAACAACTGAGCTATGGATGTTGGAATTTTGTCGATACCAATGATAATCATAGGTAGCCGATATCATAATACCACAACAACTAAACTTTTCTCTCTCTGATGCACTGCCCAGAGGATGAAATCAAGTTAATCTGAGTGTAACAGCATAAATAAACATTCAGTTTTGTGTTGGTGAAGCTTCTTATTCATTATTATTGATTATTATTTTCTTACTCAATTTGACTTTTCTCTTTCAACTCCGACTCTTTTGTTATTTTGTATTTTTTAAGAAACTCTTTAACAACAAAAAATTTCATATTAGTTATTTCTGAGGAATCATACTGAGCTTGGGCTATTTTGTAATACACGTCTGTAAAGCTGAAGGGAATATGTGAAACAAAAGGAGTCAAAAGAAAGAGACTGTTAGGCGCCTGTGTTAATGTTTGTGCATATCTGTGTTAATATTTTAGGATCAGGCCCTTAAGATATTAACACAGACGTCTCCTCTCCTGTAGAAAGCCCGGTGAATATGAGTTTGCACTACCTCCTAGCATTGACTATGGTCTCCAGCTCTCTGGCTTTGCGGGCAGCAGTGTGCAGTATGGAATCTGGAATGCTGGCCAAACGGGCGACATTGAGGCCGTAGCTCCGGCCTGCAGCTCCTTCAGTTAGCTGGTAAAGAAAGGTGATGAACTCTGGCTGAACCTCTCCATCTGTCAAGAATTCCAATCATACATGACAAAGAGGCTATGAATGAAAAAAAAAGATCCAATTAAGGCTGCTCTATATTTGTGTTCAAAGCAACCCAGATGTGGCCGTTTACGCAAAACAACATTTAGGACATTTTTAAAATGAACAGAGAAATGAAAACATACCGTCTGTGTCAGTACAAACGTCTGGCTCGTTGAGTAAGAATGCCATGTGGTAGTTAGAGACATGTTCAGGATACGTCTGCTCCAATTCACACAGAGGAGGATAATGGGTCACAAACAGGGTAAGTGCTTTTACCTAAAGAAAAAATATAATAGGCAACATAAATAGGCAATAAATAATAAATAGACAATATACAATAAATAGACAATATAAAAAATATAATAGACAGAAAAAATAGATTGGGAAAGTGAGGTCTGCAGAAAGTCCTCCATCTTTCCATGTAAATTTCTATGGAAAACATCTGGGTAGCAGCAAAAATAAGGCATCCAGTTGTAAACAAAATCAGTACACTCCGTTCACATTAGTAAGGCTATATTAAGTGAGTAGAAAACAGCACATATTCAGGCAGAAATGTGCCAGCATTCGCGGGCCTGCATCACAGATTACAGACTGGTACCAGCCATTCATTAATCCACAAGCATCACAAGCATAACAGAAAGTGTTTCATGAATTAAATGATGCAAATGGTACATATTATAAGTCATTTTGCATGGCACGGTACAATTTCTGTCACAATTTATCAAAATGGGGGCTGAAAAACAAAGAACAGAGTGTGAGTTTTACTTTGATCCATTGATCAAAGTATACATATATATATATATATAATATCTTGCTTTTTTTTGTCCTCTACTTACTTCGTTTGTTTTATACATCTGTCTTTTGTAGTGCTCCATTAATCCTTCCCATCTTTTTGCCCCTTACCGTGAACACTGAACTCGGCTTTTGAGGCTCAAGAGAGAGATTAAGCTAAGAGAAGGCTCTTCACCTCATCCTGCCATTCTTTAATCCTTGTCAGTCCTGGACTCACCCAAAGGCTTCATGATTGAATTCAGGCATTAATGGTAAAACATGAAAATTGCAGATAAGTGCATACACACTCTCACTCAGTCTCCGCACACAAATCCACAAAGTGCTGTTCTCTGAAAACACCTTCTGGGAACTTTTTGCTGAAAATATGCATCTCCTTATTCTCCTTACTTTATAAACCCATTAGATGAGGAGGGAAATTCAAAATACCTTCTTACCATAACTTCTTCTTACGTCTTGACAATAAATTATCAAAAAGTCCTTCTGATAATGATTAAGTATGCTCAATAATCCTGATGACAAGAAATCATGCATCAGCCCTCCTTCTGTAGCTGCTCTGGATCTTATGGTGCTACAGCTGTTAGATAGCTTTGAGACTGTATAAAACTGTGTGTAAGAGAGATTACACGCCAAATGTCCTCAACATGAAGGATACAGGGGAGTTTCCTCCCCATTATTCAAGCAAAGGCTCTAAGATGTGCACCTGTTGAGATCCATGTACGACAAATTAATAGCCCACATGCACACACAGACTAAATACAGTCTCCAACTGCACTGAAAGGTGCAAATAAAGCAAGTAAAGCAGAGGGAGACTGCAGTCTGCGTAATGACCTGATTAGGTGGTAATGGCTGCTCATTACCAGACCACCCCAGGGCGCACTGAAAGCTTTGCTCTGCAGAGCAACAATCTGATGATCTTGGTGGTGAACAATTAATCGGTTAGACAATAATTGCAACGTCCATTAATTGGTCATTTCAGAGATCAAACATTTGGGTTAAATGTCATTAAGTTAAACGTGCCCAGGCAAACAGACAATGAAACTGCAGGTGAATATTGTATGATCTATACAATATATATATAGAAGTAAAGGTATGATCATGATTAAAAAAAATAAAAATACATCACAACGAAAAAAATAGGGAAGCTAGAAATGTTTAGGACCCCATGGGTATGAGAAGGCTTTCTTAGAAAACAAAATATAAAACTATAAATATGTGCCACTATTGTAAACTCAAATCTGCTCCATGTTTCCAATTTGGAAAGTGTTTCGACTGGTCCAACAGGAAGTCCAGATGTGTTCCGCTCACAGTTTGACGGTTCAAAGAGAAATACATATCTGTCAGACTTCTGATCTGTCCAGTACAACATCCGATGCCTACTCTGCACAGCCAGTGTGTCAGCCTTCTGTTTGAACAGATTACTCTCCGCTTTTGAAAAGTAGTGAATGCTTTTCTGCACGTCACTGGAAAGGGACCACTCTTCCCCTCTGTTTTAAAACAATACCTAGTCATAAGTGAGAGCATTTGTGCAGCCGCAATTGTACCTCTGGTCGGAAATCTGAGCCTGAGGGGAGGGCTAGTGTCAACCACACTAATAGCATCTCTCTATCTTGTTAGTCTCCCCTGTCCAATTAAACGCAAATCCAATTTTACCTCAACATCCCTTTTGTGCTTTCCACTCACTGCTAACAGGGTTTTGCTGAGGTGCTCTTTGTGAGAAGAGTACATATTTTGAGTGCCTAAAGTAATGTCACAAAGAACATCTTCCTTTTGTTTTCCAGAACACATTTTTTAAAAATCTTGTACTTCCTAGGTCCTATAATAGGTAATTGCTACTTCAGATGAAAAACAATGTCATGATTTATTACACTGTCATAGTTTTTTAAAAACAAAAACAAAACCTCGAAGCAATGCATGAAATATAGAAAAAGATGTACACACCTTGATTCAATCATTTATGCAGAATCCTCTTAAAGGCCCACCACAGTATTTCTATCAGGCTAAAGTCTGGATTTTGAGTGAGTCGATACAAACTCAATATTTCGTCTGAAAAGTTTTAACTGTTGGACAGCTAGCCGAGCCTTAAAAGGCGCTGAGGTTCTGTGGATGCAAGGTCTAACTAATCATGCTATGTTCTTTATGAATAGAAGAGGCTTTCTCTTTGCAAGGCTTTTAAACAAATTGTTGCCTAGTCTTTCTAAGGTTCCACTGTCATGCTCTGTTTTTTCTCTCTGATTTAATCCTGAAATCCAGTTCAGAGGTCTTGAACCAAATGCTGAGAAGCTTGCTCGGAACCCAACTAAATTTTCCTCAAACAAACGTGCAGTGACCAGATGTCCGATTACTAGTAGTGTACAACAAAAAAGCACTGCTTAGTAAGGTAGAGATCTCCTTTGACTGCTGTCAAAGCTGGTCATGCTTCCATCTTTACAATATTAGAAGAGTTACATTTAGGTCTGAGTCATTGTAGGGAATGTGAGGGATGCAATGTGTGAGCTTATTGGCAGTAGCTCCTGTTGGTGTGAGTCAAAGAGCAAGTATGTTAGTAGTAATAGTTTATGGCATTTCGCATGTCAAAGGGAATTAAGTCAGGGTATCAAAAACTGATCATCCAATCATACATTACATAAAAGCAGTCATATTCTATCACACTCTGCTTTCTAACTTCAGAAAACCTCTAATCGCTGCTTCCAGCTTCCTTTTCTTTCAGCCTCAAGGCTGTCTCTATTATTATGTTGTGTTATGAAACCCATCTACATTTGTAACTACTTCTCAGGTAAGTGTCAGGAACAGGGAAAGGTGTGTTTCTATAACAACCGAGTCAAAGAGGAGGCAGTCAGACTTTTGACGTTAGTAGTCAAGTCTGCTGAAGAGGATGTTGCCGAACTGAGGGAGGCGGAAATACAAGTTTCGGACGGAGGCTCCTTTCGGTAAAGCTGAACTCCGTTTGTGCCCTTTTGTTTGCCTTTCCTTTAAAAGCGAGGCTTCCTAACAAATCGGTGCTGTTATACAATAGGTAGAGAGCTCCCTCCTTCTGCCAACAGCAGCTTCCTGCTGCACTAAATGCTGCTTACACATTTTAATTCCATGTTTTCTAACAGAATCACATAACTCCAACTTTCTGTTAAAACACTCATGTGAAGCTGGTAAAACATGAAAACTGGAAGGTTTTCAGAGGTAAATCTGTATTTGATCATGGTTAGCTGAAGGCATTTTTCTCTATTTGGAGTAAGATCTAACAGACAGAAACCAATTAAGCAAACAAAACATTAAAGGACCAGAGCTTGTAGGTTGTCAACTTTAATAACAGACAAGGCAACACAGGAGGCAAACTCCAGAAACCCTCGAAGAGTGACTGTGTTTTACAGGGAGGACTGCTCTCTGCGAGTAAGGTAAAAGGTCTGTTTTCCACCGATGTGAACGTGGAGTCTTTCTGGAGCTGGCTTTGTTCATCTCCAACAAAAAAATAACAAACACTGATGCTGGTGCTGAAAAGCTGGCACCACAAAGAAGCCAGCACCAATGACCACGGTAAAAAGAAGAGGAAAGAGGCCCAGTAGGAGGCAGTAATTCCCCAAACGGTTTGTTGCAACAAAGATTAATAAAATGCTACGTAATTCCCTGAAATCCAGGGTGGTTCTTGGCAATAGTTGAGCAGAAAGGTTTCTGCACTATCACTGTTCTGATGAAAAACTCCTGTAGCAGGCTGAATATGCATTTTCCTAATTGTCGGAGAAAAATGCTGACAAAAACAAAAGCTCACAAAACAAAACCAAGTGCTTCAAACGTGAAATTAATACGTACTCACTAAGGTCAGTGTATGTCATCTGATTTGACAAATCCTCTCTACGCGGATGAGCCGCTGCAGGGAGGACACAAATACCGCACGCACAACCACCGACTGATAAAAGCTAAACACCCCAGTAAAATTTTAGCTGAAATTAGTCAATTTCTTCCGATTTGATCTTTTTCCCCCCATTTACTTTTTGCTAGGGTTGACAACACAAACCCACTCCTCACTCTCATGCTCTCAGCAGAGCGCTCATCTGTTTTGCTAAAACGTAGATGCGCAACATTGTGCCGTGCCCTGAGGACTTGTGACTGTGGCAGATCTCCCAGCAGGGCTCAGGCGCTCATGTTTCCATGACTTTGGGGACATTGGTGGAAAATAAATTCTTACTCAACCACAGCTACTACTTGGATAAAACAAGCTTAACCTGACAGTTCTCAACGTGTCTACAAGTTCAAATGCACAAAAAAAAATAAGGCAAATTTGTTTTTTGCCTCCAAAGTTAAATCCTTATTGTGTGACCATGTTAATAATCCCAATAACTGAAGTGAGATCCACCAACACACAGACCTTTTATATCTTTGAGCTGATTCGCTGTTGAACCTACCCAGCCCCTCACCCTTGGGGGGGTTTGTGAGTTCAGTGTTTAATGCTGTGCGGCAGCTCTCAAGTGTCAGGGGTAAATTAATGAGAGGAACGTATAAACATAACCGTCACAGCAGATTTTGGACATCATAAACATAGGAAAAACAAGAACGCACTCATCACCATCTTTTACTTCTGGCAACAACTAGACCCTTCTGCTTTCGGCACACTCAGGGAGCACAAAACACGTCACCGAGAAATGAAAGAAATATGGATACGTGATCCTTGATTGATGATGTCATTTTTGCTTGGGCCTGCTAAGGCTTTCGCTGTTATGACAGCCAAGTTACAGGCTCATATTCAGTCTATTGTCCGGCTTCTCATTGTCGCAGGGGGTCAAAAGTAATAAATGATGAATGAATGGAATCTTGGACACTTGGTCATCAGCCTGCAGCATGCAGAGCCATATGAACTGGTTTGTCCCTTAAACTCTTGGGTATCAGGGGTCGCTGTTCTTTCTCTCCCACTTTTCTTTTACATCCTGCTCTTTCACTTGATATTGACACTATAGATCCTGCTTCTCTGTATTTTTGTGCTTAGTGAGCTGCTCTTCTGAAGCCCCTCTGGTGGCTTGTTTGATTGAAAAACCAACCATCACTGAAGTCTACCGAGTCTGTAAGAGCTGGTAATCAAACATAAGAATGTACATAAATTGATGCTTACACACACCTCTAAACCAAAAGCTCTTTGTCTTTTGATTAAGTGGCCCAGCATCCACATTCCACAGTGCTTGTGGATTTTGACGCAAGATAAATTGGTTGGGGATTGTAAATTTCCAAGTTGTTAACATCAACTGAAACCTTTTTCTATCCCCCAATAAATCTGTCACTCACATCACACACAGTATACACTTACATCTCTGATGAAGTACTCCAGTGTGGCGTAGGCAATTGCAATTCCATCATGAGTGCTTGTACCCCGCCCCAATTCGTCAAGGATGACCAGCGAGCGCTTTGTTGCTCTGGAAATAATCTCAGAGGCCTCCGTCAGCTCTTCCATGAATGTGCTACGCCCTTTGTAGATGTTGTCTGAAGCCCCCATCCTGAGAACACAAACGACAAGAGGAAAAATAAGTACAGTGAGATTAAGTAATGTGATGAACAGGACACGCCAGTTAGGACTCTCAGATCACTTAATGCATCCAGATAACATTAAAGACATTTCCACCTCTGAGGGAATAGTGAACATCACAGCTGTGGTGACATCACAACAAAAAGCTCATCAAACCCAGATGTCAGGAACTTAGTTTATAACCTAGTTAATAAACACTATTAGACTAAAAGAAATCACAGAACTGTAATAATTACCAAACCAGGCAGGAAAATTTCTGGTGTCCCAGATACTATGATTGATAACTTCCATTATGGCACATTAAGAGCAATTAAACAAACATCTGTCACACTCACTGCTCATTTTCCTTAAACATATGCTGCATTAGATCATAATCTGGTTTACATTACAGCACAAAGACGTATAGACCCTGATGTTTATTTACATCTGCAAGCAAGATGTGAAAATTCTGAGGTCATAGAACAATCATCATTGAGTGCCCGGTGTATAGCAAACTGTTACTTGCATAACTAAAAATGACACATTCAAACCTCAAACACAACCTACATTTTGTACAGTGTGCATGAAAAACTACAGACACAAAAACTACATTGTAAAGTTCCAGAAATTCCAACATTAAATTGAATAAAAAATCCTCTTAGAATAAATATTTGTTAAACAAATAGATACAAATAGAAAATGAGCCATCTCCCAGATCAACACCGCTTTCAGTCCAACGCTTCCCGTTGGCCACAGGCTGCATGCTTTGGCAGTTAGTTGTATTGAGTGGACACCAGTAAGGAAGTGCCAAGCTACCCTCAAAGCCTCAAAGTTCCTTTTTACTCTTTTTCGATGAGTCCAATTTTATGTTTTCATGCTAAACATATTGCCAGGAAAACAGTAATGTGCTTTGACACCAGTCATCAACAGGTAGCAATGGCTTGCTTAAATTCCTGATGTATCCAGCCAAGATCTCTACAACTGCTCTGACCCAGAGCACACAGCAGAGCTGGACAGATGTTAGCTCCAAGGCTCCAGCTCATCCATCCCCCATCTTTTCAAGTTGCTTCATGCTGAGTATACCCTGTGGAAGAACTTTGCCTTTAAGCAGGATGTCATAGTTTGCTTCCAGACTAGTTTTTCTATCCCCTTTTATTCTTGAAAAAGAAAAAAGTGGCCCGGTGTTTACCATTAAAGGTCTTAAAATCAAGACTGATGGTTCAGAGCGTTTAATTTATCATTATGGATTTAAGTGAGGTCAAGTACTCTCTGGTTTGCCAAAAGATAGACTAAACAAAAGAAGGTACAATGTGAAGGGAAAAATAATAATTCTTATTCAAATTGACGATGTTTAACAGTAGATTTTCAGTGGAAAATTAAAAATCAATGTAAGATTGGGTCATGCTGTCATTAGGTAACATGACTAGTTATCTCTGGGTTTTTCACATCGTACATTATCTGGAATGTTTATTCTGATGTGTATTATCTAATGTGTATTCAGTTATTTCTCTAGAGTTTCAGCATTTGGCCAAAAGCAATCCATTTCTCCTTGTTCAGTGAGTGGCATCAGTAACTGTTGTGACACTGCTTTCGTATGGTTTCTAGTTTTTTCTGCTCACTGTGATCATAATGCCCTGAGTTAGCAAAGAGGTTGGATGGCATAAAAATGCAGTACCCGAGCACATGTGCACACGCAGTCTCCTCAGTAATTCCCCTCCTGTCACGCCACTGTAGTGAAGTATCTTTACAAGTTAGCTCTGCCATTTTACAACGTAATCAGGCGCCCATGTGTGGGAACATATGCTTGGAACAACCCCTGGAGACATTTTGCAGTAGTCACTTTTGCCAGCTACCTACATGGAAAACAGCTTTATAAAAGCAGGGCAGCTCAACTGCATGCATATGTTCAAGTATGTAGTAGTTATAAATGCAGGAACACATGTTCAATCACCATTATCAGCATGCTGGAAACAAAAGACATTAATTCCCCGGATCCTCCTTCCGCGTGGACTGTCTACTCTGCAACCTGACCCACTATCACTAGTTGGAAAGAAGAAAATAAACAATCAGAATTAAGCAATCAATTATAAAGGCCCTGGATGATTAAGTCTCAGGGATGTGCCAGTGACAGAGCTGGAATACCAATTAAGTCGATACCAACAGATGTTTATAGATTGCTGATACGTCGGCTTTCAAAGCCTCTTTGAAAGCCTCAAAAGCATTTTGAGGGCTCTTCTGAGGCACCGAGACAGACTGATAGACAGAGGGCTGATTCATCTGATGAAAAACTCAATGCCAGATGAATCACAGATGCCACATCTCTCTGCCAGTCAGTGGTTCTCACCTCTAAATCCGTCTTTTTCCTGCCCCGAGTGATATTCCGTTCCCATGAATGAACCACCAACAGAGGTTGCCATGGTTACACCTCCCATGCCATACAGGAAAGAGGTGTGGCAGATACACTGCTGCATTTCATTTTCCAATGTACAGCATGCGTGATAAGAATCTGAGCATAATTACAGCAGCTTTGAGGGTGGAAGGGATGGACAGAGGGTATGATTCCAGAAACACAGCAAAACCCCACCAGCTGGGTACCCTTCTGGTTTAAGCAAGCCTCTCCTTCCAGCATAAACACGTGAACCTGAAAATAGATTTACACCTCGTGCACATACCAACACATTTAGGCAAATATCTGACACGATGTTTATCTGACACAAGAAACTTGTCACTATAATCTTCACATTCCTTTTGGTTTAACTGATGAAAATGAAACCAATTCTACTCATTGATCAGAAAAATCTAAAGGAAGACCATTTGGATGCTATTGCAAAACCTATCAAATTCAGCAGATGTCTTCAAATAACACCAGAGGTTTGTGAACCTTAAAACTATGTGCCTTTAAGTCATTTTAAAGTCCACCGATTATCCGTCATCAACATTTATTATACTTGATTTATTAGGTGTAGTTTTCAGATTTGCGAAAAAAGACTAAAAGACATCCAAACTATTTACAAAATTGCAAGCATATGCTCCAAGGCCGTCGAGAGATTAACAGCTACTTCACAAAACAAAACAGGCTGTCGTGTAAAGAAATCCAAAACAAAGAATAATGTGGAAATGTTTATAAAACATTACAACAAGATCAATATGCACACAAACCCATGGACATATGCTTCCGTCATCACCTATTTTGTATTTTTCCTCAATTTGAATTATGCATTTATACCTAGTGTAATTCTTCCACATACTTACCTCTATGTCCTATAGTGTTGCAAAGGCCTAACTATGCATGACGCCTACAAAATGGTACAGCCACTGTGAAAAGAGCTCTAAGAGGAGCGAAAAATAAATCAGGAACAAATGAGTTGGTGGAGAATGCAGTATTTTTTTTTTTCATACACGCTCAATATGTGTACAACACCCACCTACAGTAGGTGTTACTGCTACCCAGAGACCTGTTGGCAGGTAAACACTTGCCACTGTTTGCAAGTTCCTTTGACATTCCTGGATATCAGCCATATATCTAGACTAAAAATAAAGAAATAAATTAAATCAAGCACTGCATTTCTTTATGGAGAAAGAGCTTGACACTCATAAAAGGTGGTATAATCACAGTGAGGACGCCATGGTCGATTAAATGTCCATTCAAAACACAGTTTTACATTCTGCTTCCTCTTGCTGTTTCCATAACAACCACAAAGGCATGGAAGAATCTGCTCCATAACCTTCAGGTCTAAATACTCACAAGAAAACACAACAGCTGCATGCATGCACATACAAATATGCATCAGTCAGCCACTATGAAAGACACACACTTCACAGAGCTGCCAACTTTTCTATAGTCTGTGTGAGAACAAAGACATACAGAATTATATTCAGACAACTGCACGACACTGGGAGTACGAATGAGAGTGGACAGAAACATAAAACCAGAATTTTGTGAGGTGGGACACAGATTTGTTCCAGGTTATTCTCTTTGTTCTAATAACTAATAATCTGGATCATTTCAGTCACCATCTCACTACCGCTCTAATTCGGTTTATTTCATTCAAAGAAATCTTACAAGTGCACACTCACATGTGCTTCTCTCTCCTGAGAAGGCAATTCCCGCTGAGTCCACCATGCCCGACACAGCAGTAGGAATTGATTGTTTATTGTCAAGACATATTTTCTTACACTCTGTAATGTGGACCAAGGACTGTAATCAGAAACAAGGATGACTGAGGCAGTAACGGTGGCAGTGAATAGATCACAGACGACACACAGACAGTGGCAGCGTTTTTTCACAGCTGGAATAAGGGAAACTGGACTTCTTTTATGGCTCTTCGAGACATTTTAGCTTTAACACTAAATACTTTTTTAGTCCTACTTGACTGGAGGGGAGTTTTTTTAATATTATATATATATAAATGGGACATTTAAGTCACCAACTAACTTGTTCAATCCGTTTGTCCTCAGTCATTCTAATCTGTGAGTTTACCTCTGACCAGCATGTTTTGGAGAGTAGGGAACAGTTGTGAAATCAACTGGGAAGAACAGTAAAGGCTGCAATCTAAGTGGTCGATTCATGAGAAAAGCCCCCTTTCACCCCTTTTTTAGACCATAAGTCTTTACCATCCATGATATGCAGATTACAGACCTCTTTGAGATGTTAAAAGATCACGGGGTCTTACTGAGGAGCTGGCGCTCCTGTGTTGTCGCACGCTCTTTTAAAGTGGTTGTTCAGTTTTCCTGATGCAAAGGTCAGGGCATCGCTTTGCTCAAAATCATACACAAACACACTGAGTTTGAATGTTTTTGACCCGTTTCTCTCCGAGGCAGTGGTTCAGTTTGAAATGCTTCAGCATACTGTGTTTGGGGAAAGTCTTTCCTCTGCCACAAAGGTGTTAAGAATCATTTCTATACCATATCCTCTTTTTTCTGCTTTAGATTTCCATGACCTGTCTTAAGGAGGATCTACACCAAAATACTTTTGCCGTGAGAAAACAATCAGCACTAAATATATTGCAACTCATCTAATCTATGAGTTGAAATAACAAACTAAACAACTTTTTTACATGTAAGAAAAATATTTTTATGTGAACTTGTGTGAAATTTCTCATAAAACATACAGCCACAGTGAAAGTCTGAGATTGTTTCCATTATAAATTCTTTGAATAACTACCGGTACTTTAAATGTTTTCCTGCTCCACACATCTGACTCAAATTAAACTGATCTCTCTCACCAGTTAAGGACCCATTCATTTGGGCCGGGGGTTGTCTTTTTAATACGTGGTCAGCACAATGGTTGAATGATCTTCCATCTTTGTGAGTTCTTTACCTCTGCTAACTCAAACTAATAAAGCTTCATCAATCTACCAGAGTCTGAAACAAAAACCTCACACTAGATGTTTGGAGACATGAAAACCAGCCAAAATTACTTTATTGTTCAAATTCGAAACCTGAAAACCTCCTATGTTTTTCTGCTAAATGTAAAAAATGCCAAAATAGACATGCACGCATATTTGGTGTGCTGACAAGTCTTTGGCTCCTACCGGGTTAATATATGAGAACATGCTTAAATCCACAAAAAAGACAATTACACACATCTGCAAACCATTAGGTATAATCACAAAGTGCAGCATGCGCACAATAACAGAGACCATACATTGGCCTGTGCTCCACACCAATATGTAGAAGGGGAGTGGAAACTACATGCACTCCTTACTGCCACTCTCATCATAAAGAGAATAATAGTTTGGACAAGAAAGCTCTTCTCCAACTAAGCCTTATTGTCTATGGCCTTCCACAGCCCAGAGAGTTGTACCACATCCAACCAAGCTAGAGCAAGAGTCAGCCTCGTCTCTTGTTTGTATTCTGTAACCCACTCTTACTAACCCCTTCCTGTGCAGTGAGCAACAAAATGGATTAAAAGGGATTAGACTGAGTATCAGTCCTAAAAATAAACTCGGTGGCGTTACAGACAATGAAAGTGACACCTGGTGAATGACGGGCTGTGTCATTTCGTTTAATTTTACTATTAAGGAGTGGTCAAAGGTAAAAATGGGCTTAATCTCTGCTGTAATAACCACAATTCCTATCAACAGAGACAGAAATATTACTTTTTTTACAAATTTTTAATGTTTATAGTGAATAAATATACCATATCCTACTGTCTCATGTAAAATGTACTTCATAGCTGCAGATTTCTTTTTGAAAAAAGTTTTTAAAAATCAACTCAGAGAAACAGAATTCAAAACTAAAAAAACTATCTTGCACACTTTTAGGCAATTCATAGACTTTTCAATATATGATAATACCTAAACAGACTATTGATTGAGAGGGCTTTTAGCCCAAGATTATGGCTTTTTCAGAGGAGCAACAGCTGGAAGTTTCCTCAACGTGTCCTGAGCACAGAGGATTACAGGCATGTGTAGCTGTAGTGGATGCCACCAAACAGATGGTCGTGCCTCGAGGGAGGGGGGCTACACTCTCAGGTAAGGCAGTCATTGAATTCTGTCCCTCAACCAAACAAATATTTATTTGCCATTTTGCTGAAGGTTAGAAAAAGACACATGGGAATTTTCAAATCTAAACAAACAGTCTTCCCATAGAGACTGCACCCATAAACATTATACGAGACATTTAATGTGTCTGACAAGCGCTTTTTGAGAAAATTCTCTCATGTTCCCCAACTCCAAAAGCATCTCTTTGCACATATGAAATTCTATCCAAAAAAAAGAGGACCAGTGATAGTCACAAATAAAACTACATGATAAATATTGAACTTCAAATGTACTTTAAAACCCACCTAAATGTTATTGTTAACCAAGCACATTCCCCATGGTAATAGCTCTCTATGGTAACAGCAGCCTCTCACAGACGGTCCCCACAGGTCCAGAAGAAATACTGACATAATAATTAAGACTTTTAAAACAGAAAGGCCCAAACTGTGAGAGCACGAAAGGAACTGGGTTTAAGGGTGAGATACTGATTGGGTCTTCCAAAGGTCGACAGATCTCTCTGTTATTGAGTATTCGTAAGATGTAGAACCAGAATTTGCAGTATTCTGGTTCTTTTTGTCGTTTTACATTTAAAAGTAAATGTAAAAGTTGTTTGAGTGTGTTGCCATACCTGGTGTAAATGCCATCTAGTACACCCAGACAGGCCTCAGAAGCTGGAACATAGGAGCCCATCTGAGCCATAATACAGATAAGAGCAACCTGGCGGATGTAGGAGCTCTTCCCCCCCATATTGGGTCCAGTGATTATCATAATTCTCTTGCCATCACCCTAAAGGACAAGAGAAAAGAGGAGAGGACGCTAACTGTGACATATACAGAAGGCAAAGGAGGAGAGACAGTGTACAGTATTTGAATGTTGCCCTGCACAGCTGAAGAGGTGGGTGGACTGAAAGCTTGGCTTCTCTTCCCACTGGGTTGTGCTTGTGTTGCAAGATTAACCTACACCCACTCCGACTGAGCAAGGAAGTGAGAGTGTGGGTATGTGTGTGGTGAATGTCTCTGCACAGGCAAATATCTGTTGTTTTAGGTGCCCCTTGTTTCCAAGCCCCCACAATCAGTGTGTGTGGGTATACCTGTAGTTCGGTGTGGTTCGGGACATACTGGTTCTGTTCGCCCATCAGCAAATCTATTGCTGGATGTCTGCCATCCCTGATCATTATCTGGTGTCGATTTTCACACACTTCTGGTCTGATCATAAGAACAGAGTCAATTAGGTAAACACACAAACAATAAATCATTCATGCAAACAGGGTTTTGCTGCGTCACTTATCAAGACCGATCTTTAACTTGGGCTTGTGGATATTGTCCCGGTGCATTGTCCCTCTCCACTGAAGTAATTTAACACATGCACACCCAAATAAACAATCTACCTTTAAAGACGCTGACTTCTTTCATTCAAGAAAAGTAGCAGTAAAAAATGGTAGAAAAATTAAAGTTTAAATATGCCGGAGAGGAACATCTTTAGTACAACCATGCAAAGAGAAGAGGAGATTAAACAAAAATGTGTACAGCAGAAATAGACATTACAAAGATGGGTGTAAGTGAGTGAGTGAGTGGGAGAGATGTTGGTGTTCTGCCAGAGCACACGACGGAGCACAGTGCACACACCCACACACAGCCTGTCTGAGACTATAGGACAGGACATAGGACAACCTACCACACAGATGCATATAGCCCCCCCCCCCCGACACACACAACACGTTATCAGGCAATTGCATCAATATTTATGCTTATTGTGAGAGGACCTCACCTGCAATACTCTCCCTGTTTAGCCACCTCAGCCAATGAAAAGAGACAGTCCATGGTTGCTAGGTGACTAATAGCCTTTTTCATGGTGTGGTAATGTTCCCCAAACTGACTACAGAGGAGCAGAGGAAAGAGATTTTGAAGTGTAAATTAAGGTGAGGGCATTCAGTGTTCTGAGTAGACTGCACTGTTGGGGTACTTGACTAAAACAGACTAATTCTGGCAGCCTGAGAGCTGTGGAGGCATACTCTTGGAACTTAGACTGATGTGTTTTTTTAAATCAGATTTTCATTTGAATTCATGATCAGGTGTGTGAGTGAGTGCAGTTGTCTGTCATACTCCAGAAAATTGGTCCACTCCCTCTGGCAGTCCAGCAGCAGCTGCTCCCGAAGCTGCTGCAGCTTCTTGTAGCGCTCCACCAGAAAAGGGGAGTGATACCTGCCAACAGCCTTTGTGCTGCAGAGGACAGGTGACAGGGACGGGGAGGAAAAGGTAGAGCACAGTTCAGCTTAAAGCAAGTGCAGAAAACTGGCAGGTGTAAAACATGAACCCAAGTTAAACCAGACAAAAAAATGGTCATATCACTTTGGGGTTTGACGTGCTAGTGATCATGGGACAACTGCAATTCAGAGGATTTTTTTCCAACTTCATGATGGCATTGTTAACCTCTTCGGAAATTTTATTTTTAACTTCAATTAAATACAAATTTCCATTTACAACAACAATCGTCACAGGAGGCACACAAATGTGAAAATGCAAACATAGTAGTAAATACAGTATATCTGTGGACTTTTAAAGATGAAAAGATTAATTTAACATTTGGCTCCGTTTAGTTTCCCCACCAAATACAAAACGAGTAAAACATCAGGAGGTTGCTAATGATAATAAGTCTTGCACCCCTCATGAATAGACTGAAATCCTTGCGGCGGCTGGCCGGGGTTAAGTTATGCCCTGCGGTTATTCACTGAATGCAACACCTTCTTGTAACCACACCACTTTCTCTCTTTTTTACTTACTGAATCATTACACTCTGCTGAATGCAAGTAAAACTATATATACAGTTGAACTTCTTTTCTTAAGCAACCAGCCTGTATTTCACCCTTTGGCTTCACCTGTGCTAGCTTAGAATTTGCCTTATAACACAACATTTCAGCATGTGCCACATTAATGTAACAGTTTGAAATATAAACAAGATGAAAAGACATTGTTAATTATTAACCATTACATGCTATTCCCTTTGAGCAAATTAAATATGGAAAACCTTTAGAAGAGTGAGCATAGGTGTTTGTGTGATGCAACAACTGCTGACCTGCTGACTTTGACCCAGTCATGTGGAACAATGGATGACAGCGAGTTCTTCACCTCAATCAAAAACTGCGGGCAGAAGGGAAAGAGTTGGAGCACGTATTTGATAAATCAGACAAGGTAGGAAGTATAATATGTCATTCTTGATTAAAACTTGCACCAGCATGCACAGATCAATTTCCTCCCACCTTTCATACTCCAACCCAACACACACAGAAGTGGTACCTCTAGCCCTGAGACGGTTGTGTAGTCGAGCGCTGGGGCCTTCAGCGTTAGTCGGATGTCTTTGCGGTGCTCCTGAATCTCACAAAGCACAGTCTGGATCTCCTTTGTTCTTTCCTGTAGCACCGGAAAACCAGACAGATCGGAGAAGAGCTCCGTCTTGTTCCCCAACCTGCAGAAATCCAAACATTCAGTGTGACAGCTGCTGGTAACTTTTCACGCCACGAATCCAAGCAGCCTCTGACATTTTCAGAAAAAAAGAAGCCTGTTGGTCAGTCTGACCCTTCAGTACTCTCAAATGTTGAGAGGGAAAAAAGCATCAATGTGTCACTTGGATGTCTTTCACTCAGCTACACTGTGCCAACTGTTGATCATACAGTGCAATGTGTGGAGCGACAGCAGGCATCTAACGTCGCCCACTGTGACCACTTGCATTTCTCAGCCCAAGTTTGATGCAATGTGCTGCGTTTCTCTAATGCCCAGATCAAAACATTTAAACGTTTATTTATGGAAATAAAGGCTTTGACATCACAACATGTATTCATAGTTTATTCCTGTATCCACTAACTACAGAAGATTTATGAAGGCAGAAATGTTTTAGAGACACTCGCACGTGAATCATATTCAAAACACTTTTGCAACCACCTGTGAATATTATAAGTTGTTTACGAGAGGTTATTTCTAAAAAAAAACATTTCCGGTTGATCAGAAAAAGAACATAATGAAAAATAAATAAATAACTTAACCAAAGTTTTAAGTAATTATTAACTGCTGCTTCTCATATCCAGATACACATTTACATACAGTAAGTAGAATAACAATGAGCACATTTATGGATGTCAATCTCCAAAAAGGAGAAATATATATATTCTACTGACAAATAAAGACGTTGAAGTTTCTAGGCTAACTAGACAGTCCTGTTCTTAGTTTTACATAACTACCAAAGCATTTAAACACTTCTCCTTAAACCTCCCAACACCTCCTTGTTGCACTGCTTAACACTCACTTGGCTGCCTTTTCGTTAAGCACTTTGAGGAAGCTGTGGGCTGGAGCCAGCAGGTCAGGGGTGTCAAGTAAGAGGCTCCGTAGCAGCACTGAGCTGATCTGTGACCGAATGGCTGGGAGGAGAGCCTGTAGTTCCAGCCCCAGGCGAGAGAGACTGCTACTAATGAGGTAAAATTCCTGTGTGGAGGACTGTAACACATGCACACAGAGACACATAAAGATGTTATATGATATTGAATGAAGTGTCTATGTAACCGTTGGTTTTGACGCTGTCTATCTCTGTTTAACTTGATTACAAATATTGTGATTATTCAAAGAAGCACACTGTATTACCCAACAGGAATACCAAAGCATAATGTTTGTGTGTGAATGTGGTTTTTTTCGGGTTTATGCATGGTGAGCTCCTGTGGAGATTCCATAAAACAGGGAGATTACATCCCTAATCTCTTCACTGTATGCTGAAAAGAGCTGTGACAGCCAAACTTCCTGAATAACATTCCTCATTAGTATCTACGGAGTCTGCAAGTCTTTACAATGTGGCAGCAAGGAAATAAAACCAACCCCAGGAACATAATCACAGAAAGGACTTATTCAGAACTGTCAAGTTATTTCACCCTTTAAATGATGTGAAACAGCAATCAGGCAAAGTTTAAATCTCAAGCATTTAAAAAAGTCAGCTGCCACTAATCTATTAACACAGCAGATGTTTTCTATTCTCAAGATCAACTTCAATATTCAAGCTGCAATCTTTTCAAATGGATTAGTAATCAATGGCCAGTATGGGAACACCTGAGAAGAGACTATAGCCAATAACCTTAAAGTATGGTTACAAGTCATAACCCTCAGGTTAATGAGGGTCACACCAACAGGGCTTTGGTATTAATCACATGCTGCAGTTTTAATGTTACCACATCTCTGCAGACCCTGTGTTGCTCTTTCAGGAAATCAAACAAACATCAACTGAAAACCATAGGCATGCCCTCCCTCCCATTATTTCAATGAACTCATTGAGACACAGGCCATTACACAAGGGTACATTTATCTACTGATGGGCAAAATGGCAATTAAGGCTCCCTCTGTCTGTCTTGTGTCTGTCTGTGATCAATGACATTTGATCGTTTTCTTTCAACCGTAAATGAAAAAGTCAGATATCTGAGCATAAACGAGGTTATCAAGCTCAGACCACAGCGCCTCTCTGCTTTCTGTATGATCCAATCACACACACACACACACACACACACATATAGGCAGAGGATGAAGCTCTGTGACATTTCTTAGATGGGTCTGATGGGAAAATGAGTCTGTCAGACAATCAAGTAAGAGCCACAGAGGCTCTCCATTGTTAATCGCACGAGTGCCATTAAAAAGAGAGGGATCTAGGAGAGAGATGAAAGAAAATAGTCTTTGATTTTGATCAAACTGACAAGAAAAAGGACTTCCGCTTTTCAGCTCCTGTGTCAGATTTATCAAGCGTTTCCCAGCTATACACCAAAGAGCTATAATGGCAAAACAAGCCTCGTGACATCTGACAGCAACGATTTACAATCAATCTGAGCTCATGGAAGAAAATGAGAATACATTTCCCTCCAAGGATACGAGACGTGTACATGTGTGTTCAAGTCACCTTTTTGTGGTATATACTGCAGATGCCTCTCTCCAGATCGGGCAGATGTGACAGCAGAGATCTGATGGAGCTTAAAGTGAGACAGCCAGAGTCCATGATTTCCTGCACAGCGTCCTGTCTCTCAGAGATAGACCTGAGTAGTGTGGAAGACAAGAAAAGGAAATGTAGGAGCAGGCATATTGAAAACAAGATGTTCAATTGACCTGAGAGCAAAGGAAAGGTTTCCGCTGGATACAATAAATCACTTTCCATTTGTCTGAGATTTTTGTAATCTTTGCGAAACAAAGGCAATTAGATTAGCTTTTTCCTGAATTCATAAAGAATCTTGGAACCAAGTGACTTCAGTTAGAATGCTGAAAAAAACAAATACCAAACACTCCTTATTTCTGACTATAAGCATTTTCTCTCTTGGACACCTGAGATTGTTGAACAAAATTGTGGCAGACTTTCCCTGTTGTTTTCCATTCACACATCCACTCTGCAGCACGGGTTGTCAGCGTGAGACTCATTCTCACAACTGGAAATACTCTGATGTGGCAACAGGGAAAAGGAGACAAGGTGAAAAGACACCATTCAAATAGCACAGGGAGTGCTATTTCCTTTTTTCACAGGGAGTCTTAGCAATGGCAGCAGTCACAGAAATATAACAATTAGAAATGCAGTTAGACATATTAACTATGGTACTGACACCATAGGATTTTATGCACGCACATAAACCAAAAAGAACTAGACTGAAACTCAAATTCACTCAAGCTTTTAATAAACAACCAGTCAAAAGGGGGCATTGGTCTTGGTTTTCTCATCATGCTTTTGAGAGAAATTATCAAAAAGCAACTTTAAATACGTTTTATGTCTCTCAAAAATCACCCCTCCATTATATGGTTCCTTTTTAGATTCCAAGTGAAAGACTGAATATATGTGTTCATAAAAATGATTTAAATTCCATTTTGGGTTTCTTGATCTCTGCGTCATAAAGAATTTCCATATACAGGCCTCAACATAAACTAAAGAGACAAAAGACTGCAAAACTCCTGACGAGATCCATTCGGGGAAGAAAAATAACATTTTAAGTCATCCCTGAGAAAAAAAAATGGAATGTAAACTTATTTATTTACTATTCTTTCATTTCCTTTTAAAAAGAAATATAGGAACCAATAATTTCCTAAACCAAAAAACAGTAAGAGCATAAAATACTGTCAGCTTTACACATCAAAACTGAACAGTAGAGATAGCTTCAATATGTATTGACATAACACATATACTGAATAAATGTCCTTTATCACAATAGAAGAGGGTTAAACAGCAAAAAAAAACTTTGGAATGAAATAATCTGCATATCCTACTGTGTCGCAATTATATTCACATTTATTATTTGTGCTTGCTCCTGTCCCAGAGCTCCTGTGTATGTCTAAGAATTAATCTGAGTGTAATCTGGATTTTATTCCTGTTTGAAATTCTGCAGAAGAGATTCTGGATAATCTGAAAAGCAGCAGAGAGGCAACAGCTTTAATCCCTGTACAGCAGCAAAAGGAGGCCACACAGAGAAATATGACATGAAACAGCAAAAAAGTGGAGTAATAATAACAGTTGTATATTTTCTCCTCTGAGAAAGGTAATGAATGTGCATCCTTTATAGGTTCTGTGTGCCATTTTCCCCCCAAAAAATGTATTTCTCTGTTAAACTAAATAATATTACTAATCAAAAATAATTCAAGTGAGTAGATCTTTGAAAACAGTCATTCCTGATCCTCATTTATAAAGGTCACTAAGCAGAGATGGTCATAATTATTCACATCTGCCTTCACTTCAGTGATTCCACACCACTAAATTACAACTAGAACAAAATAACAGGGTGCTCGATATTTATTTTCATTATCTCAGGTACTGACATTTACTTATTGATTTATGTCAAATGATAAGATTGCAGTCGAGTAACTGCATATTACCACATCTAGGGCAAAAAGTTTTCTCAAAGTAAGATGGAGCTGAGATGCACCTCCTATAAACTGTGTTTGAATAACGACTAAAGGTGAATTCAAATGAGCAAAGACAAGAATGGAAAGAGGAACAACAAATGTCCTTTATTTCCTTTTTATTACTAATTTAAACCTTAACCAAATCATCTAGGAGGTATAATGGTATCATTTGAGGAGTTACATGCTCATATACTATATTATGACTTTAATCAAATTTGGCAAAAGTATCTAATTAAATGTTGAATTAAATGTTGAATCTGTCAATGGGTGCATTGCAACTAACTAAACAAAAGTAATTGGAAATTATTATTGCTTTGGAAATACAAAAGTATTTTATAATGTGGATTCTACAGTTGTCATGAATATGGGATTCTTTCCCATATCGGCCAGTCATCCCATATGGTGTGAAAGTAGCATAAGCGCCACTTGCGTCAGGGAAATTAAATGTCCTCCCTCTGGCTCTGTGGCCCAGAGAGAGACTCTTAAAACGCAGTGTCGATAATAAACTAAAAGACTGGAAGTTAGAATCAAGCTAAATCAGAGGAATCCTGTACTCACTGCAGGTCTGTGAGAGGCTGGCTCACCCACTTCCTCATCAGTCTCCTTCCAAACGGAGTGAGAGTGTGGTCCAGCACCCACAGCAGACTTCCCTTCAAATGTCCATCTGTCTATAATATAGAGAGTACACAAAAAAAACAACAGAAAGTTGATGCTTGATGTGATGTCATTGTGACGCTCAACCCATTTTAAACCAGTTAAATCTGGATTTTTAGGCAGATGAGGCCGTAAATTGAAGGTGTTTTCATAACGAGATGAATAGGTGCCAGTGACATGAGTAATCACGTGCACATAACAGATAAGTAGACTTAAAATCTTAAACACAATTAGTAAGGCTTGAGAGTCCTTTCAACTGAGAAGTTTAATGGAGAATGCTCAGGTTTCTGACTGATCCCGACTAGAGCATGCACAATGTAGATCAAACGTAGCCAGAGATCTTATCATTAGGTCTCTGTACTGAAAGCAGAACTTTAGGCTAAATCTGACGACAGGGGGACAGTGGACAATTCTCCAGCAGACATAACCTATAGTTGTATATGAGTATTGGCCGAGACTGCTAGTTGAGATACATGTACCTGATTTTTGAGTATTTCCAGGTTCCTGAGAGTGGCAGCGTTGAGGGTCATACCTTCTGACTCACAAGACAGAAGCCGGAATGAGCTGTATGAGGCAGAAATGTGATTAGTGTTACAATCCTAAACTCAGTGGAGTGAGTTTCAGGCTCATGTGTCCTGTGGAAGGAGAACTACGTTAATGGAGCAAATCAGTCTGCAAGGTAAAAAGCCTATTTCTGTCCCATGAGTTTAACATCCTGCCTTAATTGCTTCTGCAGTTTATCCCAAAAATTCAGAGAGAGAAAGTTGTCATCTTCTCCAAACATGAGAATTGTCAGGCTTAAGCTCTCCATCAATGCTGAAATCCCCTAAGAACATTTCTTTTCATGTACCTCTCGCTTCTCAGAACGCGCTCCAGGGTAAAATCTTGGAGGTATTGGATGAGCGGCCCCAGACAACAGATCACCGGGCTCTCAAAGGACGTGACGCTCGCTAGAGAGCGCGAATCTGTTGGGCAGAGACGCACAATCACGCTAGATTTTTCCCCATCAAAACACGGCCGTGAGTCACGGGCCCACGCCTCTCAGACCCACTCGGCGCTGTACAGCTGGATGACAGGATGCGTGCCGCTGAGCTGAATGTGGGGAGAACGTCCTAAATGAAAGGGCAAACCGCACACACCTTTCTCCTGAGAGGAGCAGTAGAATTCGGTGACGGTGTTCATTGCGGAGGCAAACTCGAACTGAGCGCTGTCCCTCCGCTCAACTCTCACCCGGTCGTCCGCTTGAGCGCTGAGGTGAAACGGCAGAAACAAAATAGAGACACATTTCATTTATCATCAACACCGAAAGGCAGCGCTCATTGAAGAAGTCGGTGATGATTGTGACTCTAATGGCAAACAAACAAACAAAGAAAACACATATAATTGTGCCTGTTCGTCTTCTCTACAGCACTAAAGGGGGAGACAGGCTCCCACTGCATGGCGGTCGCACACATGAAAACACATTTCCCCTGAACCTCCCCGGTGCACCATTGCATCTCTCTATTGCCATATCCACTCTCACGGCAATGCTGCTCTCAAGGACGCCGTCGCTTCATCTGCTCTCTTGTTGCCAGGGAAACCAAGGCAAACACGTGAATCTGGACACAACGTTTGAGCAATTTTCTCCCTTCGGTTTTGTAACGCCTGTACACACATGCACACAAATAAAGGGGATAATCATCATGTTTCATCTCGCTGCCTGGTCATACCAGGAGCAAAATCCCATTAAAGTGATCAATAGATGGCATATTTAGCTGGAAATAGAACAGTGGGCCATTAATCATTGAACCAGTCGATTCAACGATATTAAGGGGTTTATAAGAACAATTGCGCTTATTGATCCAAGCAGAGGCCTGCAGTGCAGCAATGCTGCAAAACCCTGATGGGACGGAACATTGTGAAGCCGGGTTTAGGTAGCATGTTTTAATTTTCAAAGGAGACTGTAAAGCTGGAATCTGGAATAAATGTATGTCTGATCAAAACTGCAGTGAGTAGTCTGAACTGCAAATACTTTTGATTGAGTCTGGTTTAAGATTTCTTCCCCTATCAGCTAAAACGTAAACCACACGACAAGCAAGCAGTTATTTTAATCCCTGAATTTACACAAACTGATGCTTGGAGCACTAAGACTGAAATCAACAAACAATAATCCAAATTTGTCCTCTCTTTAACAGGTCGGATGTTGGGGAACTTCAATTTGGCTTCCATTGTCATCATTCCTGCTCACATGAGTTAAAATATGAAGGGATCATTGTGTCTTTGGTATTTATATTCTGAGAGCTGTGAATGTCTGAACACTTAGCCAAGATGCTGAAATGGTCAGACTAAAGTGTACCTGAGTGGTGTAACAAAAAGTAGGAAATGTGCCTTTTTACATTTTAGTGCAAAAAAGCAAAAAATATATTTCCGATAAAGCCTCTCATATTTACAAATATCTAATATTTCTTTCAACCGTCAGCTACATGTCTCAAAGTCTCTGAAAGCATTTCCAAACTAGTCTGCTCAAATAAATCCTTCTATGCAAATCTGCCACAGAAAAAAAGGTCAAAGTTAACAGCAATGCGGGGTCGGACCTACTTGATCCATAACTAAATTCCGTCTACAGTGCCAAAAACCCTGTGCAAGCACTTTGTGAGCATACATATTCCACCACTGATTGTTCAGAGAAGCATAGGCAGAAATCTGGTCAATGAAATGGTGTGATGAAAACCATTTCCCCAGCAGTATTCCGCCACGAGTGACCTGCAAAATATGTCACGTCTTTGTCAATGATGAGAGCTGTGTGATAGAGACAGCCCATCAAAATCAGAAATGCTGAAGGGGAAACCAGACATGCTGCTATCCAGAGATCAGAGGGTAACACGCAAGGCAGATTAGGATCCTAAATAGCCACCGTCAGAGTCAAAAGAAAGCCACACAAACTATCAGTACACAAGTAGGTTTCCGTGTGCTTGTGGGAAATTTTTGCTGAACTTCACAAGCTGTAAGAGTTTAAATATTCACAATTGAATATTTGGAAAACAGAAACAATGACAGCAATAAGAGGAGAGCTTCTCCCTTCTCCGAGCCCAGGATTTGTGAGCCCACTAATGCTGCACCTAGCTACCACAAATCTCATGGGGACTCATTACCCGCTGCTCCATGGACACAAACCCCGTTGCCAGGGGTCTTGTCTCGTCAGCCCACCCCAGAGACAAAGACGCCAACACGCTGACGTAAAGCAGCCGCAGAAATCCCTGGTTTTACCAGCTCCCCTGGGTCGGTCAGACTTTTTTTTTTTTTAAAGGGTTGAGAGCAAATTGCTGTATTTCAAAATTCAAATAAGGGTCAATGCTGTAAACGATACAAAAATCTATTTCAGAATCCTTTGTGTGTCCAGGTTTCCCATAAAAACAGCTTTGAAGGCTGACTGTATTTGGGATATAAAATGGGATTCAGATATCTGAGACAAAGCTGCCCTTGGTTCCATTTTTTCAATATGTAAAGTGGTATGAGTTTCTTCTGTAATGAGCACAATGCCACAGAGCGGTGGTGTTCAAACAATTACTGAATTGCCCTTTAGAGGCCCATATCTGCCCATTTGTCACTCTACACGGGCCTGAATAAAAGAGAGGAATGAATAAAGAGCCAAATATTCAGAACTGAAATTGAAGCCGACGGTACAATAAAAATAGCCACTGAAATTAGAAGAGATGGTGATGAGAAATGATCACCGCCAAGGAGGCAAAGACAAAAGAGGCAGCAAGTGGCAGACATTTTCTCCATTCATCCTGCCACTGCCTCCTAATAAAATCCACTCCCTCGCAGTCTCTCGTTTCATTTCCACAGCATAATGCAATCGTGTGCAGCCCCCGGAGGGTGTCTCCCCTACTGGTGTGAACGTGGAGCTCCAGACTGAAAGGCGGGCTGGCCCAAAGCAACAGGTTTGTGAAAAATATGAGCTGAGAGTCGCTGCTGCAGGTTGTGCCGTCTGTTCCTTGAAAGGACACTGTTTTGATCTTAAAGTTCAAACGACAGTCTGAGTATATTCAGCGACACAATGTTTTCACAGAGTCTGTCCACACATCAATTCCCAGTTTTCATACTGACTAAGATCAGATATCCTTTACATGTAAGAAATGGGGCAGGAATACTGAAAGTTCACAGGATTCAGCTGTTTTTGATCTTCAGTGGACTGTTTTTTCACACTGAGATGCACACAACAAGAGAGGAAACAAGTGGAGGGAAGCAACAGAGAATTTTCTGTCACTGTTACAGTTGAAAAAAGGCCAAAACTACTTCAGCTGAGTGAAAAATAAACACATTCTATTCTTTAAATGTTTGACCTCTATCTGTATATTATGCTGCTGATCCCATCCATGGCAAAAAAAAAAATGTCCCCTGATGAAATGACCTACAGGGTGAAAAATGTTTGCTTTAAAAACCACAAGAATACAATCTATAAGCACTGCAAGAAATATGTTTACAGGTGTATGGAATACAGTTTTGTATATTGTAAATATATCAAAACCTGATATTTGTTTCTTCAGTCAGTCAGTTTCTTAAAAAAAAATCTTTGACAGTCAGTCTTTGAACCATTTAAATCAAAAATGTAAAAAATCAACTTTGGTCGGACCAGCTCAGGCCTACTGTGCAACCTGTGGTGCTTGAAGACAATTATCTCAGTGAACGCTCAGGAATTTCTTCATCCAATCTGTGTCAAGAGAGATTCAGACTCAACATCTGTCCACCTGGTGGTGAAAATCCATACGCAGTCCTTTTACTCCCTGAATTAAATGGGCCGAATCCATTAATGCAAAATGTTTTGTAAACAAAAAACATGGGCTCAGCATCTCTAATAATAACAACATTCCTACTAAAGAAATGTGCGGTAAATGAATACACACTGCCCCCTTGTGGCCTGGCAATAGATTACCTTGCATTACAGATGCTGAGCAGGAGTCTGTGAGTTTGTTCTGAGAGGTCAGAGGGCACCACAATCTCCACAGGGTTGATCTTTAGGATGCGGCTCTCTAACTCGGCGCGGGTAGGACCTTCAGGGAAGCAGTCCAGCAGCACGTCTCCAGTGCTGGGCTGAACCGCCTGCATTTGCACACAAACACAAGAAACCGTTCACACATTTCATTACTTCCAAGTTGAAGTCGAAGACACTTCAGCTCAATGGTTATTTAGAGAAAATAATTAGCTTCTCGATAAACATCATGTCTTTATTAATAATTAGGGGGGTTTACAAAAATAACTTTTAGGTACATATCAGCAGGTTTAAATCCATTTCCTTTTCAAAAGCTGTTAAAAGCACCTCTATGTACATTCTTGAATTTCCTTACAAAATTATGAGCATGATCTCCAAATAAATAAAGACAAAAAGACAGGCGGGTTTGCAGTCAGACCCACCACAAGCCCCACAGTGAGCTGCTTCCTCTGCTTGTCCCAGCTCTCACTGATGCACAGCAGGTAGCTGTCGGGAGGGTCGGCCACCACGTCGCCACAGCCCCCCTCCTCCACATCCTCAAGTCTGCAAACTGGGTTCACATCTGAAAAACTGTCAAGGAAACTTCTTCAGACACATAGAGAGTCGAGGACTTAATTTTAGGACACACAGCCATTCACCGTCCGTAAGGATACCCTCCCCCACCAGAGTGGACTTGGTGTACAGGGCACTGAGCTGACGAGTGAACAGAGAGTTTCTATTGGCCCCTGAAGCCTTGATCGCTGATGTCTCCGTCTGCTTAACCACACCGACCTGAAATCAAAAGACCAAATGCAGCAAAAGAAACAGCTGTAGTTCATTCACAACCTTGTGTGGGAAACTGTAACGAGATGAAAGATTTGTTTCATACCTTGTGTCCATGAGAAACTAAACGCCTGACATGAACAAACAGGCGGTGTGTGGGAATGCTGCAAGTCATGAAGTTATGATCCAGGTGACAGAATATATTAAGCTCCTTTGCAGCGACCTGCTCACAAACATAGAGACGACATTCAACTATTAGTCTCCCTTCTCAATTGTTGAGAGAATTAAGCCTTTGTTCGGACTGATCTCTTCCTCAAAAAAGCAATGAGAACCATCTAAAACTTGTATCAAATGTCTATGCAAGAAAAAGAAATTAACTTTGATACAACTTGAATGCATCTACTTGTGCATTATTCCCATAAAGGCTTTTCACTTCTCACCTCTGCATCCTCTCCAAAGAACCTGTACTTGTAGCCACACTCGATGGCCAACAAGGCGTCCTTATGCTGCTGTTTGAGCTGGATGACCTGCTGCTCCAGTGGAGTGTAAACGCTCTTCGAGCGTCTGGAGGGATTGCTGGAGTCTGATGGGGGACTCGGCTCCCCCCCCCTTCCCACCACTCCTGCTGGCTTGGCAAACTGAGACAAACTGGGCACCTTCAAAATGAAAAAAAAAAGTGTTGTTTTTTTTACCGATAAGAAAAGTAGCTGCAGTATAAATAGTATGCTTATGATACAGAAAGGCTAAAAATCTGCAATTTTTCATAAAGAAAATGTAAATTTAAAAAATGGTGAACTGAGTCCTTTGTAGTAAAATCCCACTTTGATGAGGTATATCTTCCCAGTTGTGATCAGATGATTTACGTTGAAGAAGTCAAATCTCAGATGTTGTTTACAGGCCCTCATAAGCCTTATACGTTTCAAATAGACAAAAGCAGACATAGCAGAAGTGTGAAGGTTGCAGACATGGCATCAGCACTGAGTACTGCACAACGGGACAGGATTTGAGATGTGTGGCAATAAAGACAATTGGGTGTATGTGATGTCATACGTTTTGGGCTTTTTGGGTAAGCTGAAGACAGACCACTTGCAGCTCATCATCTCCACTTATTTCTGTAACTTTTCTTACTGCTCACTGTCACTAATTTCTTAATTACCTGTATCTTATTAGCTTGTCCTACATCTTCCGTCTCTTTGGTGACTGTCTTTCCATCCTCACGCTTCTCCTCTGAGTGACTTATTTTGTCTGGAGATTTGTGTTGGTGTGGAACTCCAGATGGAGGCAAAGCGCCGTATCTCTGGTCACAGACTTTACTGCTTACGCCATCTGTCTCCGTGTCCTCGTGGACATCACCGTGCTGGACATTGTGCTCAGCCACGCAGCTGAAGCCTTTCAGCTTCTCCAGTGTGGAGGAGCTGAGGGTTCCTCCTGCTCCTCCTCGGCACGACGGGGGGCTGGTCTCTGAAGACACAAAACACTGGCTATCAAGATGCATCATTGAGTGGTACTATTACAGCTGTTAGGAGAAGTGAGTTGCTTGAGGATGCTAGAAATGGCTGTCATGTCTGTGGGCAGCATGAAGGTGTCATCAGAGCTCCATTCTCACCGCTGACCCTCTGACAGGGTGTTGGGTCAACCTCCAGACCCTCATGCTCCTGGTCGTTCAGAGATAGTTTGGCTCTTTTTGGAGGCAACAATGTATTATCAACAGGGGACAGTTTCTGCTGCAAAACAAAAGCAACCCACGTCAAAGGGTTAGCAGATATATCCTGCGTGTGGGGGGATTTATTTAGACAGCAACAGCTTACTTTGCCTCTGGAATGCTGGCGCTCCGCGGGCTTTCTGCTGCTCAGCCCCCCGAAGTAGCTGCTAATGGAAGTCTGCGTGGTGCCGGCCTTTTTCACAGACTTTGGCATGTTTTCAGCTGTGCATCGTTGGAACTTTAAAATATTCGCGTTTGCAACAGACGGATTCGGTGGCAGCAGCCCGGCGTTAGAAAACACAGCGGCGCGTATGCTGACGTCACGGTGCACGTTAATGACGTAGTCAAACTGCTGCTTCCTCTTCTTCTTCTTGTTCTCCTTCTTCTTCTTTTCGTCTGCCTTTACTTCCATTGTTTATTTTTTTCAGAGTTACCAGTGATCCCTAGTTTTGCTTTAATTTGAATATCAAATACAAACCAAATATATTACTCTGCTTCCAGTCCCCACCGACTCGGATGATTGCAAAGGCCTTCTTTCTAATGGATAGCATATATTGTTTTCCAAACAGCTATCTATTTTTGCATTTTTCCAGATTTTCTCTGGAAAATGAATTCTAGATGGAAGATGATCCACCCTGCCTACTCTGCTTGATGCCTGCTTTATTCAAATATACTCTTGTAGGATGTGAGATCAGCCTTAGCCAGGAAAGTGATGTAGGCCCTATCATGACAAACCATTGATGACTGGAGTGACCAAGTTGTTACATAGGCCTTTGTGATAGTTTTCAAGTAGATGGGAGCCGTACGCTTAGGCACTTTGTAGGCTAAACTTAGTAAATTTGAATTTGATGTGGGGTAGCCAGTGGAGTTAAACAAAGAGAGATTTTCAGGCTGATTGAAGACCGGACGTCCCACACCTGCAGAGGTTTCACAGCACATGCTGGGATATGGTTAGGGTAGCCCTAACACAGACTGCACAAGGAGTTGGGTGGCATGATGGGTTAGGTTGCTGTATCATTTAGTATAATTTATTCCACCCATTTTTGAAAAATAAATAAATGTTCAAGATTCAGATAAATAATCCAACAGTCTCTTCTAGATATACGTGTCACTCTCTGGAATATATACTACTGCACTTGTAAAAAGCTGGTGGATATGAAAACTAAATTGAAATGATGTCAGTCAAAATAATTTTTTCATTTTGCCTATAGACGGTGGTCGACATGGAGAGAGGATTAAACATGGTGCCCCCGCATTGACACTTTCAATGCATTTTTAAAAAATGAAAAAAACTGCTCCCGTAATGTTTCATTAATCATTTGAATCCCTTTCGCATTCCTGCTTTTAAATCCAAACTATTATAGCCTGTATTTTCCATTTAACATAGGAGACTTTGTCAACTCCCAACTCTGCTGGAGTTTGAATATCAAATGCAAACCAAATTCTCCACTTTACCTTCAGTTTCCATTAACCCTTAGTTACTGAGATGACCTTCTTTCCAACGTATAGCAAATGTTTGTTTTCTAACAGTTTGTTAACAGCTTTTATACTTACTATGATACGGAGATTTGGTCTGATCAGCCTACAGTTAGCCTGCCTTAACAGAAATTGTAATTTGACAATTTGTCAAAGGTGTTGAGGTAAAAAACTAACAATCTTTGCAATAAGGAACATTCTTGCTATGGTGAGAAAAAT